CCAGAGGCAGGATCTTTGGCTGTGTGACCTTACGTAAAATACACAATGTCTCTGAGCTTCATCCGGACATCCATTTCTTCATCCCTCCATTCATTCATTCATTCATTCATTCATTCGAGAAATACCTGCTGAGCACCTACTATGTGCCAAGCACAGTGCCAGCTGCCGGGGGTACAGCATGAACAAACCAGACACACTTCGTGCCCTCCCGGAGCTCAAGGTCTGGCAGGAGAAGGGTTGACAAAGGCTCGGACTGGGCCATCGGTTTGAGGCATTACTCACAGGAGAGGGTCTGGAGCATGCGTATTGTGATTTTGTCCACTTGTTAACGCCACGAGTATTTATTAGGTGCTGGTTAGAACTGTGAAGATAAGATCCCTGTCCATGAGGATCTTACACCCTGCAGGAGGAGACATATAAGTGAGCAGGTGATTGAGTGTGACTGAAATCAGCTCAGAGAGGCAGAGGAGCAGAGAGGAGCCCAGCCAGCCTGTGGCATTCAGGAAAGGCTTCCTGGAGGAGGCGACCCTGAATGGTAAGTGGAGGGAGGCTAGGAGTGGAGTAATCCAGGCAGAGGGAGGACCATGTGCAAAGGTTCAGAGGTGGGTAAGAGCGCAGAGAACCAGGGATCGGCGTAGAATGGGGCGTAGAATGTGCAGGGAGAAGCTGCAGATGAGCTGGGAGCTGTGGACAGGGGTCAGGCCCCAGGAAGCAGAGTGATGCTGAGGGGTGACACTGTGGCATCTGGCTGTAGGGGAGTTAGCAGAACAAAAGGGGCCAAGGATGGGAGCAGAGAAACCCATTAGGCAGCTGTTAAATCGCCCTCGTAAGAGGCGATGGTGGCCTGAGTTAGGGTCGGTGAAGTGGGCATGAAGAAGGAAAAACGGAGCCAAGAAATATTTGAAAGGCTGAGTAGCAAGATTTGGTGATTATCGAAAATGCGAGGATGAGGGAGAAAGGGAAAAGCTGGGTTTCCGGCTTGGGCGACCAGGTGACCAAGTCTTCTCGCTGCCTGGGACGGCGGTGGTGCCATTAGGATAGACTTAGGACAGACGATGCAGTAGGGAGGGAGAGCTTTAAGGAAACACGAGTTATTGGGACCCGCTGAGTTCAAGGGGCCTCCCGCGTCTCAGCCCAAGTGACAAGGCCCAGCGGGCGATGGGGTGGATGGATCTGAAGTTCAAGGGCGGGGGAGGGAGGCGTTACAGATTCGGAACTCGCCAGCCTGTGAATGATGCTGGACACCGGGAGCTGACTTGACACTCCCCAGGGAGAGTATATATGGAGTGACAAGAAAAAGGGGACCTGCCAGCATTCTCAAGGACAGCTAGAGGACGAGGCCGATGATAAGAATAAGAACGGAGCAGAGCGTACTAACTGGGAGAGGAAAATCGTGGTCCAGGGGAGTCAAGGAAATACGCAGCGCCTGGAGAAGCAGCAAAAAACCATCCGGTGACGAGGGACCAGAGGAAGCGCCCAGGGAACTTGCCTGCGGGGCGACCTTAGCGGGGGAGTTTTAGCCACGTAGTTCAGATTGGAAGGGAGAAGTCAGAAGTGAGATGAAGGAACTGACTTTGGAAAAGAGGAAGATTACTTCATCAGAAGTCGGGGGAGGAAGTGGAGGATAGAGGTGGCTATTTCCATGTTTACAGGTGAAGGAGGCAGGGTCGAGTGAGGTCAGGCGGGGTGACCTGAATTTTCTCGAGGCGGGACGGCAGGAACAGGCTGAGAACGGCGGAAGGGGGCGGAGCGAGTGGGTAGTGATGACGGCGGAGACCGTTTAGGAGGATGGAGAAAGCTGAGAGTGGCCACCGAGGAGAGACGGGCGAGCACCTGCCGACACACATGGACCAGTGGGCTGTTCTGTAGGCCCAGATGAATTCCGGAATCCTCCATGTGTGGCGGATATAAGCTCCATTTTAGGGGATTTTTTTTTCCCACCTTTTCTTTGTCTGGGTTGAGGTTTTGCTAGAAGGAGTTACCAGTGCCTGGATCCCGGTGCCTCCGTCTTCAGTAGCCTGAGCTCCTTAAAGAGTCCTACAGTAACCCAGGAGAGGCGGTGGCCACTTGTTCTGCAAACGCTTTGACTCTCAGTTGGGATTGGAGGGGACGCTATTCTGACGCTCATGTTGTCCGGGGGCCTTGTCTACCCTTCACATTCCATTGTGCACCGTCACCAAAGGGGCCCTTCGCAGACTCCTCAACAGTGAGTACCTGACGTTGGGTAGAGTCTTTGGGTCCCAAATAGGAAGCGCCCTTCCTCGCTTTCTTATGAACTCCCTTGCTCTAACCGGCCCCACACGGAGTGGCACCCGGACGAGCGAAAGTGTTCTAAGGTGAGTAACTGGGAACACAAGGAACCATTGGAAAGGCATTGTGCAAGCCAGCAACTGTTTGATCTCTCGCTGCTTCCCTTTGGGCATTAAGCGTCCTTTTGACTAGTGTTTGTTTTCTGGTAGTAAATGTGGCATCAGCGTCATTGGTTTATGGTGGGAATCGATGATGAGAAGGGACGGGTGCAAAGTTCTCAACGGTGCCCAGTGTGCTGGGCATTTCAGGCACGTGGCAGACCCTCCTTAGCCACAGTTCTGCTTTCCAAGATTTCGGTTACCTACGGTCAACTGCAGTCCAAAACTATTATATGGACGTTTCCAGAAATAAACGATTCATAAGTTTTGCACCGTTCTGAGCAGTGTGATGAAACTTTGTGCCGTCTGGTTCCATCTCGCTCGGGACGTGAATCATCCCTGTGTCCGGTGCATACGCGACTCACCAGTTAGTGACACGGTAGCCACCTGGGCTATCGGATCGTCACAGTCACACCGCGCTTGTGCTCAAGCCGTCCTCGTTTTACTCAGTAACGGCCCCCAAGTGCAAGAACGGTGATGATCGCCATTCGGAGATGCCAAAGAGAAGCCGCAAACCGCTTCCTTGAAGTGAAAGGTGAAAGTTCTTGACTTACTAAGGAAAGAAAAAACAAAAAAAAATAGTATGCTGAGGTCGCTAAGACCTATGGTGAGAATGAACCTTCCGTCTGCGAAACCGTGGAAAAGGAAAAAGAGATTCGTGCTGGTTTTGCTGCCGCTCATCGAACTCCGAAAGTGATGCCCCCATGCGTGAGGGGTCCTCCGTGAAGCCGGAGAAGGCACTCGGTCTGGGGGAGGAAGACGGGACATTGACATGGCTCGTGATCCTCCTTGTGACTCACCGTCGGAAGATCGAGAGCGGCCTGGCGGGTGGTCACAGGGCCCACGCCATGCATTCGCTCTGCCTGGCCACGTAGGCACCGTAGCATCCCGCATCGTCACAGGAAGGCGGAGGGCCGCGTGGTTAAGACGTTCTCAGCGGGAGACCCCATTCCCGTAGCTTTCATTACGGGATATTGTTGTGGTTGTTCTTTTTCAATTATTGGCTATCGTTGTGATCACTTACTGTGCCTAACGGATAAAGGAAACTTTATCACAGGCATGTGTATATAGGGTTTGGAGCTATCTGCAGTTTTAGGCATCCACTGCGGGTCTTGGAAGTACCCCCTGCAGCTAAGGGGCGCTGACTTCTTCACTGCTGCTGACGGAATGATCGGCGAGCAGGTGTGGCTGCTGGGCGTGCTTACCTGCAGGAAGGTGGCCAAGGGCCTTTCCTCACTTTATCTTGTGCCAAATCACTTTGCTTACCGGCAGCCAACAAGCCCAGTGTGTGCCTGGGAGATTAACTCCAGGGACACCTCCGCACCAATCCTGGAGAGCCACATGGGTGGGACACTGTAATAAAAGGACGGTCCCCAACAGGCGTGCATCTCCACGGCTGGCCGGAGGAAGACAAACGCTTCGTGTTCTCACCCTGAGGTAAGTCCTGCTTCAAGCCCCACCGGGCTTTCTCGCCCTGGGCTTGCTGGGGTTGTTTGCTTCTGGAAAGTTTCACAACCCAGCAACAGTTTGGACCCTGGCCCTCGTCAGATGCTCCAGATATTGCTCTCTGCCCAGCCTGACCGTGACTCCAGCCGTGTGCTGGCTGTGCCCTTGGCCCTGGACACCCTCACCGGGCGACAGCCCTCTCCTGGAGATCACATCTTTAAGACTTCATGGTCCCAGGTGCTCTCTCTTAACACATTCTTCATATCCCTTCCAGAATCTTTAACTGGAGTCTTCCAGAGGCCATAAGCAAGCCCCCAAAGGTTTGCCTGAGCGAAGGGTTTCCCAGAAGAGCTAATGTTCTTAATTTGAGTGCTGGCAGGCTCCTCACAGTTCCTTGTTTCCACCTCTCCACTCCGTTTATGTATTCATTCATCCCTCACACCTCCATGGGGCACCCCTTGTGTGCCAGACACGGTGCCGAGAGCAAGCAGTGAGCTCAGTCTGCGTGGTCCCCCACCTCACAGAAATCTACACGCGCTGCGAGCGCCTCAGGGGGCTCCTGGCACAGCGCCCGACACGCAGAACCAAGCGAGGCAGCCGCTCCCTCTGTCTGCAGGTAGCAAGGACTGCCACCTGCTCCTCCGTCCCAGCCCCCAGAGCCTCTGCCTCCACCTGAGCGGGAACCAACCTGAGACCCTCTGGGACATTCTGCCGTGCCGGCTGGCTCGACGCTAGCCTTCGACTTTCTTGCCGCCACCTGACCCCCTTGCCAAGTCTCCCCTCACCCGTTCTCCGCTCTGCAAACCACGCCTGCTTTAGAACAATACGGCCCTTCATGACGCATCGCCATCCGTTTCTGTGGCCTTAAGCAAACCGTTCCAAGTTGGCTGGCGCACGGGAGGGCTTAGCAAACACTGCAGTGATTAATGCTCTCGGAGTCTCGGCTTTTCCCCCCTGTAAAATAGGAGCCATGACAGCACCTTCCCGAGGGGCTTAGGACGGACGGGTCATGGCATGGCCCTGCTGGGAGGGGCCTGCTTCCCCTCGCGCCCAGAGGAGTGACCCCTGTCACTCGGAAAGACCCGGACCTGGCTCTTTCCTTTCCCCTAGCTGCATGGAGAGTCTGCACGCTGCTGAGTGACCCGCATGTCTCAGCTTATGGAAAGGATGGCAGGCTCCCACGTCCTGTGGCTGGCCTTGGCCTTCTGCATTCTGACCCCGGCTCCTACAGAGCAGCAAGGTGAGTGCTTGGCTCACCTGGCCTCTCAAGTTCCCCTCAGGACCTGGGGAGTGAACGGGGAAGTGCAGACAAGGGGGTTCTGGGTCAGCGGGAGGAACAGGGTCATGCCTAAAGCCAACACTAGGAAGCGAGAAGTCAAAAGGAATAAGAATAGAGAACCCAGGATCAAGTATTATCCCACAAAGAGACAGGTCAGAAATCCTCACCCCGCCCCCCACAAAGGCAGGGAACATAACTTCCCATGTGCAGATTATGAGGAGATCAGAGAGCCGGATCCCTGAGGACACGAGTCGCCCAGTCACCCTGCGCCCTGGTTTTGACAGCCCTTTGTCCTTCCTCCTTGTCAGTTTGCTCATCTGGAAAATGAGAGGACTAGATGTAGTTATTTCTTTGCGGCCCTTCCAAAGGCCTACGGATTGGGCATCTTCGATGCTTGGGGAAGGGTTCTCAGGCTCAACACTGAGCTGACAATTTCTGCCCGTGTTAGCTGTGGAGGGGGACTGGGTGGAGGTGGGGGGCGACTCACTGCCTCCCTTGGAAAAATACAGGATATGCGGGAAATAATCCAAGAATAATGAATGAGTGCAGTGACTCTTCCTTAAAGCAAGCACAAGCATAAAGCAAGGCTTGAAGATCTCTCTTTCTGAGAGTCCCTCTAACAGGTGTCACAGGCGTGGGATCCTGTGTGTGTACTTAGTTCCTCGCTAGGGCACTCACGCTGTCCAACAAATCAGAACTAGAAAACAGAAGTAGCTTGAGCCGCCAGGACCCAGGGCTGTGCTTGACGTTAACACCTATTACCTCATTTAATCCCCCAACGGTCCCGTAGGGCTTCATTTCCCCAAACGGGGAACACATATCCCAAGATGGCCATGGGGCTGCATGGTAAACTCGTAAAGCATTTTCTGGTGGTTCTCTCCATATTTTTTTTTCCATGCATATTAAAAAATATAACTCGTACATCATACCTAGGGTATCACAGATATTATTCCTTGGGAGGAAACAAATTGATAAAGAGAATCGTTGCAAGAAACATTTTAAGTAAATAATAGGACGGGAGGAAATGAGGGTGCAAATGGGTGAAGTCTGGGAACTGCCTGCTCACAGGTGGTGTTCTGCAGACGAGTCTCAGGGGAGCTGAACCACCTGCCAAGGTCATGCAGCCGGCAGGTGCGGAGCTGGACTTACACCCAGACTGACCCGCCTGTGGCCCCCTCCTCCTCACTTGGGTCTCTTTACACGTCACGGTCCCTGAATCTGTTAAAAGCCATGAGATCAGTCATCAGAAACAGTCTCGTTAGACCGGTGGCTCTCCACTGGGGGTGGTTTGGCCCTCTGGGGGACATGGGGCCACGTCTGGAGGATGCCACTGGCATCTGAAGAAGAGCTCGGGGAGGCAGCTAAACACCCTACGACGTGCAGGGCGGCCCCCACGACACACAGTTATCTAGCCCAAAAGGTCGATCGCGCCAAGGTCGAGAAATCTCACGGTAGATCTGTATCTGCTCATACTACGAAGATGCCTGTGACATATTAAGAAAAAAATGCAAGTGGGAAAAAAAGGTGTCCAGCGTCGAACCCACTTTTAGTTAAAAAAAAAAAAAACCCTCTATTTTAAACATGTGCATAATAGAAAGAGTCTGAAGACTCTACCACAAATTTATGGTTACTTCTGAGGATGGAAGGGCCTTATGACAACTCCGATTTTTACTTTCTTTATTTTAATGACGTTTGAGGTTTTTCCAATGAGTCTTGTTACATTTCTAATGAACGGTTGCATCGGGGAGCACTGTGCAACTCCAGGAGGGCCAGCAAGCTCAGAGTAAGCGACGCCCCCCCCCGCCCCCCCGGGGCATGCAGGGTGGTGCCCTGATGTCCTCGATGCCTGCAAAATACTGTGCCCTAGCTGCGTTATGATTCTAACCCCGAGGGGATTAAGGCGGGGATTTCATTAACGGTCCAGTGCCTCCAGGGCCTCCTTCGGGCCCTGAGCACAGCTAACACAGAGTGTGTCAGGCTCGGCAAAGTCCATCACGCTGTCGCCTTCTAGATCGCAGAGACTCCAGTTCCAATGGGCTGGTCTCGGAGTGCGGAGCCCCTGGGGCCCCAGAGCCCCCCCTCTGTTTTGACCCCTGCCGCAATTACACCGTCCTGGACGACCCCTCCCGAAGCACGGAGGACACCGAGAGAGCCCAGAAGTGTGACACGGCCTTGCACGGCTGGTTTCGCTTTGTGGGAGAGGGAGGCGTGAGGATGCCAGAGACCTGCACCCCAACCTACCGATGCCAGACGGAGGCTCCCATGTGGCTGAGCGGGGCCCACCCGGCCCTCAGGGAGGGCACCGTCACCCGCACGGTTTGTGCCCACTGGTCAGGCAACTGCTGTTACTGGAGCACGGAGATACAGGTGAAAGCCTGTCCGGACGACTACTATGTGTACCGGCTGGAGGGCAGCCCCACGTGTAACCTGAGATATTGCACAGGTGAGTGGCAGAGACCCTGGTGGCAGCTGAGGGGCGGGGCTACTCGCTAAAGTGCCCAGGTGTCGGGAGGGTAAGTGGGGCAGGTCGGGAGGGGACCGGCAGAGCATCTTCCACCCGGCTCCCGCCACCTGATCTACACAGCTTTCTCCCCAATCCAAGAGCAGAGCGTCCCCGTGGAACCTTTCTCGAGCGGGAATGACATAAAGCAAAGAAGCAAGGACCGTTCATTTTTTAGGGAAAATTTCGGAGCGTTCCCAGACATAAAAATAAAATAACCTACCAAGCCATACCAAAGACACTTAATTACGCCCGGTTTTATTCTAAGCTGAAGCCCCTTATGGGCTCTCTTAGAGCTAGTTCTGATACCTTACGACACATCTCGCACACAACGGATCCAGGTGAAGCGCGGATGCTCACAGATGCGGTTCAGAGAGGCTGTGGGCGGTCCCCGGGGAGGCGCTGCGTGGGGCCGTCGAGCCCGCTGCGTCCGTGACGGTGGCTCCCTGCAAAACAAGAGCTGGACGCCGTCTTCAAGGTTCTGCTTTCACGAAAGAAATTTGATTTTTTTTTTGTCAGTGGAAACAGCTACTCACGTAGGTCTCTTTCACGAAAGGGGAGACACGCAAGCTTTCAAAGAGCCGGCGGACCTCGTATGTCCACGTGCGTCGCGTGACACAGAGTCTCAGGCTCCTTCGGCTTTAGGTTCCATGCGGGCTGAACTGTTGACCTCTCCGATCCCCCCCCAAAAAATGAGTGATGCCAAAAAATAACTACCACATAGGGCTTATAGTGTCCGAAGCATTTGAGACTACGAACCCACCGCGTGAGGTGGGTACTATGCGGTCACCCCCGGATGGTGAGTCTGTGGCACAGAAAGGTTAAGTAGGGACCCCGTGTCACCCAGCTGGGATTCGAGCCCAGCGCTCTCAGCTCCCGGATCCGTGAGCCTGACCACCGTGCCGCCCTGGCTCACGCAGTCGCGGGGACCGAGTGCGGATGGGAAGCACGCCTGCCACGTTGTCTGAGCTGGTGGCTTCGGGCTCTCCACTCACTGGATCGGGAGTTACGAAGTCCAAGGTTGAGACTTGACCCTGCCACGAAGACTTGCGCAGCCTCAGGCAGGGCTTCTGTGCCCCGGTAGTGACAAGGTTGGCCTTGGGGGCCTCGATCCCCTCCCCCCTGCTCTGCATCCTGAGCCCCTTCCTCTGCGCCTCATTCCCAGATCCCTACAGTGCGGAGGACAGGTGTAACAAGACTTGCAACCCGGAGCAAGAATGTGCCTTTCTCAATGGCACCTGGGGCTGTGCCTGCAGACAGAACCGCAACAGCTCCGGTGAGTGCTCGGCGGCCCAGCAGTCGGAATGGTGCTGGGTGGAGGCTGACCCGAGTGGGCACAGCCGGACAGAGGGGGCTTCAGGGGGTCAGGACCAGAGTCGGTGCGGATGGAACTGAGGTCAGGGAGTGTGAGTTCTCGAAGCCGGTGGGTTTGCAGGGATGGGAGGCCAGGGATGCAGCTGATCCCCAGAGCAGCCGCGGGACCACGGCCTCGGGAAGCAGCTTTGGCACGGGCGGGCTTGACCCACGAGAGACAAAGGTGCCGAGGGCGAGAACTGCAAGTGTGGGAAATGCATTAAAATATCTGCAGAGCATGCACATGAGAGACACGGGCAGACTCCTGTGCTAGTGCTGAATCCGCCACACAGTAGCTCTGGGGCCTGGGACAAGTCTCCTAGCCTCTCTGAGCCTCAGTGTCCTTATCTGTAAAATGGGGGTAAGATATTAATAAAAATCCCTACTATGCAGGGCTATTGTGAGAATTAATTCAGAGTAGTCCAAATAGGCAGGCTCTGGAGGGGACGAGCTTCCTGCCCCAGGAGGTAAGCAGGCAGAGGCAGATGACCCATGAGAAGGGATGCTGATGGATAAGCCCTAAGCCCAAATGGGGGCGGATGAGCTTCCCACTGAGATTATTCCCTTCCCTCCGAGGACTGTAACGAGGGCCTCTGGCTCTTGCCCTCGGCTCCAGCGAGCCTTCCTCTCTGCAAACTCTCAGCCCCTGTGGAAGAGGGTTCTAGGCAGAGGGGCGGGAATGAGCAGACGCGTTTGGAGAACTGGGCTGGAGTGTGGACGAGGCGGTGCCTGTGTGAGCCTGGCAGGAGTCTCATGGGAATGAGGGGCAGGAACAGGAAGGGAGCAGCCCTGCCCATCATTGGAGATGCTCTGCTCATGGGCGGGTGAGCCCCGCCGGGGCCCAGGGTGGTTTCCTAGGCCCTCGGCAGTCACAGCATCAGACTCTGGGCTGGGGATGCCCTCCCTGCGTCTGAGTGAGCTTTGAGGGCGTCCCGGGCAGGTCCCCTTGGCTGACTGGGTGAGCGGGAAGCCTGTCCTGCCTTTCTCAGTGGCTCTTCCGTGAGTCCCCGTCCCTTCCAGACAGAATCCGTTTCTGCCCTGACTTTTGCTTGCTTCTCTATCTCCCACCCTCCCTGAGTCCCCCCCGGACCACGCACCTCTAGAAACACGCCATCTTCTCTCCCATCATCCCCACTCTGCCTCCGCTGTGCCCCGAGCCGGGGATGCCCTAGCTGGCTTTATTCACCGGCAGGACCCTGACTCCTGCCAAGCTTCTGCCCTCTGTGAATCCTCCTCTGACTCACCCTCTGCACCCAGAACGTACGGCTCTTAGTATTTTCATCGTATCACGTCAGAAGAAGCTGCCGACATGTTGGTTTTACACGAGGCCCTCATGAGCCAAGCCCGTGCTGGCTTTATTTTTGTATTTAATGTGCCCAGCACGTGGAGGAGGAGGTTAGTAAAAAATGCACGTTGAATCAACGCATTCATGAACCCAAGAGAAATTCGACTTATCTTGATTTACTCTCACCTACGTGGGTGTGAATTTTGTCAGTTTTGGTCATTACCGTATCCCCAGTGCCTAGAACAGTACCTGGCAGATAGTAGATGCTGAAGAAGTATTTGTTGAATACATGTTGGATAGATGGATGGATGGATGAATGAATGAATGAATGAATACAACGGCTCTGAACCAGGTCAGATGTGTTGGCTTTGCCAAGCCAGGAAGTGGGAGTCGTGTGCGTCTAGCTCTGATTCTAGCCTGGAATGTGCTGCAGTCCTGCTTCCCCAGAGACCCCAGTTCCCAAGGGGGACTAGACACGAAAGTCCTTGCCAAGCCCGCACACAGGACACTTGACAACCTCAGACTGCGGGCCTCTTTGCCAACCGCGCATACCACCAGCCTGGGTGTGAACCCCACCTGGTCCCGGGCCCCTTCCGGTTGGCCCATCCTCCTGGTAGACATAGTGGCTATTCCAAAGGCAGGAAATATGGGCTCCGGCCACGGCTTCCGGACCCCTACTCACTCTGCCCACGCGCCCTCCACTTTCCAGATGTCGACAGTCTGGAGCCGCAGCTGGACTGCGGAGCCCAGCAGATCACGGTGTCGCTGGACAGGTGTCAGCTGGAAGGCCTGGGTTTCAGAGACGAGGTCAGAGCTTACCTGCAGAACCAGAGCTGCAGCAGCATCATACAAAGAGAAGAGAGGAACTCGGTGTCCGTGACCAGTCCTACTCGGGCCAATGCCTGCGGGAACATTCTAGAGGTGAGTGGTGTTCCCACCAGATCAGAGGGTGAGACCTGGGCTGGAGGGGGCCGTACCAGGAGCTGTGAGACCTTGGGAGGTCACTTAGCTTCTCCGGGCCTCCGCGGGTATGTGAGATTCACACGCTAGCTCATGTAAAGAGCTCAACGCAGGTCTGATGCCTTGAGCTCAGTAAGCGTAAGCCACGATTGCATTTGTTTTAATTTGGTGATGATGGGGGAGGGGTTGGCAGAAGAGCATGGTGCTTCCTAACTCTCCCCAGGGGTGAGTTTTTTTTTTTCTAGTTTTTGATCTGGGGGTCCTCACTTCCCGTCCCATAAAGTATCAGTGCCACTGAGGGAGGAGGCCCATCTGCCACCTTGAGATCAGAAGACAGGGTGGTGGCAAGATGGAGGACTTGAATTCGAGACAGACCTACACACACGTCCACAGAAACCTATGTGGTCTTGTTTTTTATGCCAAAGAAAAATGGAACCCATGCGATCTACAAAAACACCCTCTCCTTGTTCAACGACTTCATCATCAGAGACACCAAGGTCATCATCAACTTCCAGTGTGCCTACCCACTGGACATGAAAGTCGGTCTCCAATCTGCCCTGCAGCCCATTGTAAGGTATGGCACCGACCCTTGCCCTCTGACCCATAACCCTGACATTGGTCACGCTCACGTCTTAATGATACCCACAGGAGCTTCCTGCAGGAGCGTCCATTCTTTTAGTCATTCATTCTGCAAAAGTCATTGATCGGATATTAGTATTAAATGCACAAGGCAGACAGAGAACAGTTTGTGGATATCAAAGATGGTTACTCTGAAGCAATGCAGCAACATGAAACAGTGTTAATTAAATGTGCTGAGAAACAAAAATACATGACACTTTCATTTATCTTGAGGAAGAAAGACATTAAACAACTAATCGTACCAATAATTACTTGTAAGTCAAGTGAATGGAACGGAGGAGAAACATAGGGTGCCGTAGGATCGGATCAAAGCAGGGGTGAAGGGGATGGTGGAGGAGGAAGGCTTCCCTGCAGGTGTGGGATTTAAGCTGGGTCGGCTCCGATTGGCTAAACAGCACCCCCAACTCACCAGAAATAGAACCACAATAGCAGTTTGGGTGGGGTTCTGTTAGGGCGGTAGGTTTTGTCTGTTGTCACCGTGCCGGGAATGAGGCCCCATTAAATGGACCCCTCAGCACTCGTAGACTTGCCAGGGGCCTTTCTGAGAATGTCAGAAATCCGGGATGCCCTTCCCATTCCCTCACTGCCTTCTGGGCTCAGAGAATGGAAGGATTAGAAGAATCGCACATTTTCTAGTTTGATGCTTTTCAGACCGTACTGCGTTGGGGCACAAGGTTCATAAAGAATACAAATTAAAACCATTCATCTTGTTAAAATCGGCGTTTTGCTGAAGACAGTGGAGTGGAAAATTGCTAAACTGCTGCTGAAAATCATGACCTTGCAGACCTGGTCCCAAGCCCCATCCTGCAGAGATGAGGGAGACGTGCACTTGGAGCGAAGGTGCTCTGTGTGGTCCGTGAGGTGGGGAGGATGGGCGGATACCCTGGAGATAGGCCCGTCTGTTTGTCACGTGTGGAGCCTAGAAGACTCGAGGGAACGATCGAGTAGTTTCTTCAAGGATCCAAGATGTGCCTCACTTCACACGAGAGTGGGGCTCGATTTCTTTTGTTCTTACCGGTCGAAACCTGATGGCTCCTCTCCTCTGTGTTCCTTGTCTCAGCTCCATCAACATCAGCCTGGGCGGGGATGGAGAGTTTACGGTCAGGATGGCCCTCTTCCAAGACCAGAGCTACACGTCGCCTTACGAAGGGGCTGCAGTGGTGCTGTCTGTTGAGTCCATGCTCTACGTGGGCGCCATCTTGGAGAGAGGGGACACCTCCCGGTTTAAGCTGCTGCTGAGGAACTGCTATGCCACCCCCACTGAAGACAAGACTGACCCCGTGAAATATTTCATCATCAGAAACAGGTGTTAGACCGCTTGGGGGTTATCTTTTGGCCTTTGAGGTTTGGCGGTAAAATGATCCTTTCATCCCTGCCTGGCAGTGGTGTCAATTGGTTTATGACTTTCGGAAAATAATTTGGTGTTATGTGTCGTAACTAGGCTAGCCTTTGACCTAGGAATATCACTCCTGAAATTTCAGCCTAAAGCATTAATACGACGTAGGTGGGCAGGGTAAAGAAATGGCAATTATTTTTCATGTCAGTATTCTTTATAACTACAGCAATAGGTTCACTGTTCGACATGGGGGCTCTGTGACGTACTGATGGACTGTGACACAGATGTCAACACTGATCGATCAACAAGAAACCAGCATGACGAGTGTTATGGGACAAAATATTATTGACTATCAAGAACTGGCAAAAACAAAGGGAAAATACATATCTGTCTATCATGATTCAGACCGTGGTAATAATCCTAGCTAATATTTCTGATTGCGTTTGACTATGGGCCAAGCACCGTGCTAAGCCCTGTACGTGGATTATCTCGTTAAATGCTCCCATCGAGCCTAGGAAATGCATATTCCCGTCTCCACCCTACAGATAAGAAAAGTGGGGTTCGGTAAGTGGTCACTTAGCTAGGAAGTGGGTCTGGCTGGAATTCGAAACCAGTCTGTCTCACTCCAGAGACCATGCTCCAAAAGACGTGAGCCATGTGAGCTTGTGGACAGCGTCTTAGAGGACACTTAAGGAATACGAGTTCGTGTTGTTGGGAGGAGGGAATCCTGGAGTGGAGGGGTTCTTTAATTCTCTCTGGTGCTGTTTTTATACTGGGCACAGGGTCTCGGGGCCCTTGAGCTCTTTTCAAAGTTAGACCCTTGCCCGTGTCGCCCTCCCAGCTGCCCAAATCAACAGGACTCCACCATCAACGTAGAGGAGAATGGGGTATCCTCTGAAGGCCGGTTCTCTGTGCAGATGTTCATGTTTGCTGGAAATTATGACCTAGTTTTCCTGCACTGTGAGGTCCATCTCTGTGACTCCCTCCAGGAACAGTGCCAGCCAGTGAGTGTGTCTTTGCGTCGGACTCTTTGGAGCCTGACGTGGGCCCTGGTACCTGGCAGGCTCTTCATATGTAGTTATGGGAATTATAAATGAATGGAAAAAAAGGAGGGAAGGAGGGAAGAAGGAAGAAAGGAGGAAAAAAGTTGGATAGATGAAGAGGTGGATGGAAGAGTGGAAATGGATAGTGATGATGGTTGTTCAATATTGTGAATGTAATTAATGCCACTGAATTATACACTTTAAAATGGTGAAAATGGCAAATTTTCTGTTTCATATATGTTTATACACATAAAAACATACACATAGAAGGAAGGAAGGAAGGAAGGAAGGAAGGAAGGAAGGAAGGAAGGAAGGAAGGAAGGAAGGTGAATGGATGGACTTTAAGCCTCAAAAAAGCCCACATATAAGCAATTATTGTGTCCCTCGAAGGCAGATCACATGAAGGAGCCTGTTCACTAGGTTTCCTTGACGCAAGACGTATTTTAGATGATTATAATAATAGTCGTCTTTTTGAGCGCTTACTCTGTATCAAGCACTGTGCTAAAACTTTCTAACTTAATTCTCACAACAAGTAGATTCTTTCATTGACCTCATTGTACAGATGAGGACGAGACTCCGGTGCCCATGCTTGGAACTCCTTTTTGGCCCTGCCTGCTCATAGTTGGCATTTGCCGAGTGCTTTCTACGTGCCTGGGCATTGCAGACACACCTCGTGTTAACCTTCCCAATCAGGGAGGCATTATTTAATAACAGTAGAGAGGTAAGGTCATTTGTCCCAAATTAGTCCGCTAAAAGACAGTGGAGAAGCAATTCTCACCCAGGTGTATTGGCCACAACAGGGAGAATATTCTGGATTGAGATCATTGTAGCATCGGAGTTAGGGCCGTACGGTGGATGGGCCCCGTTCTTGGGCCAGACTAGGATCCTAATCTTCCTTTAAATTTTGAAATCATGACAATTCTGTATCCCCACAGTCTTGTTCAAGAAATCGGCTCCGCAGTGAAGCAGAGGTGATCAACCCAGCAATGATTCTAGATTTGGGACCCATCACTCGGAGAAGTAAGTGTCACCAAGGCCTGGTGTCAAACCCAGGCTGAGTGCTGACAGTTAACCCCGGATGCTGGGGGGTCACCAACCTAACAAGGTAGAACCTTTTCTGCCTCCTCAGTGCTCTCGTTGGTGAATCGGTCTGTCCGTGAGGCGCTGGGGGCCTCTGCCGTTTGAGCGGGGCCTCCTGTGTGCTGGGGACCAGGCCAAGGCCCCTGTACCCATCGACTCACATAATCCTCCCTGACTGTGTCCACTTTGCAGGCGAGACGCCGAAGCTCAGAGAGATGAAGCGACTTGCCCACAATCGCCCGGCTCATGAGCAGCTGGAGCTAGAGTGGAACCCAGCTCGATCTGATCCCAAAGCCTGTGTCCTTACCCTTGTCTCTCTGGCCAGGTCCCCATAACTCGGTCCCTTGGGGCTGAAGCCTAAGTCCTAACCCAACTTTGTTTTCTGGCGATGGACTGTGTTTCTCAAAATCTAGCTACAGCATCGGGGTGTGCTGGAGGGGAGGCTTTCCGGCTGCTCCCAAAATTTTTATTCCTCCTATCCATTGGCATGGAGGAGTCAGAAAACCCAAATGAATGAAAACGTTTGAAAGCATTTTTTTTTTTTTTTTGTCCTAAAGAAATGGGGACATAGTCATAATAGTAGAGTATTCACAACAGCGATGACAACACGTCGTGGCTGGCACTGTGCGAGGCACATCTAAGCGTTCCATCGCACGGCACGCTCCCGGCCGTCTCGGGAAGTCAGCATCACGGCCACTTCCACTGTCCGAGGCTGCCTTGTGAGGAAGGCTCTGCCCGAGTCATCCTGCCCCTTCACTGAGCCCTCCCTGGAAGCCTCGCGCGGTGTCACAGGGTAGCTGGAACGTCCACTTTGGAGCCAGATGGGCTGGGGTTCGCATCCCAGCTCCGTCGCTTAGCAACGGGGAGAAGTCGGCCGGTCCCTGACAGCACTGAGCCTCAGTCTCCTCATCCATTAGACAGGGGATGGGAACCCATTCCTCGCAGCTCTGTGAGGGTGACGTTTCCTGTGCGCGGGATGTGTTTAGAAAGGCACCTGTCAGATTCTAGGTGCCTCCACAGTATGGACTGTCGGTGGCTGTGGCTGCCGGGTCCGGAGGGACTCGGAGCAGCTGTGGCCGCAGAGCCGCAGCCAGCAGAGCGTGACTGAGGAAAACCCTCACCTTCTCCTCTTGCCTCCAGGTGCCCCGTCTGCTGGTGCCATGAACGGAACGCCCCGCACCGCAGGTACCTCATGCTCTCCCGCCTGTCCCACAGGCCTCCCTCCCGACGCCCCCTCTCTCTGCCAGAGCCTATCCGTTCAGCCCCTTGGGGGGCCACAGTCTAGCAGAAGAGCTGGCCGTTTATGACAAATAGTTATCCAGGGCCTACTGTGCACCAGGTCGTGTTCGAGGCGCTGAGGACATAAGGGTGAATGACATGGGCCGGATGCCTGTCCTCACAGAGCTTACGTTCCTGCATGTTCCAGGAACATTCCTGGGAGCCGACACCTTATACCTCCACTTACATCTCACTGGCCAGTGCTTAGTCACATGGCCACACCTGGCTGCAAAGGAAGCTGGGAAATGTAGTCTTTATTCTGGGTGGCCGTGTCCCCAACTAGTGTTTGATGGTTCTATTAATAAGGTAGGAAGGAAGAAGGAATACCGGAATGGATAGATGGCTAGAAAAAAATTACATAGGCGGTGATATTTAAATCAAATGAGTAAAAGGAGCCAGCTGGGGACATATTACAGGTGCCAGCCCTACAGGTTAATGAATGACTGCGGAAACGAGACAGGTGCATAAGCAAACTAATCATAACCGAGTGGACAGTGCAGAAGGAAAGTCTGCCCAAGTGACTAAGGTCTAGGACGGGCCGTGGGTTCTGGAGCCTTCTGCAAGAGGAGGGCACGGGTCTGAAGCGGCACAGAGTCCCGCGGGAGGGCACTGTGGTTCTCGTCATCCCCTACCTGCTTGATGCTTGAATTAACTGCACACCAATCGACTGCTTTCGATGCTTGAATTAACTGCACACCAACCTATGTTTCATAATTATAAACTGGCGGCCATACGCTAATATTTCTGAAAATTATGATATTCTTCTCCCCCTCCCTTCTAGAAGGTTAGCAAGTGACTCTGAAATTTCAGGGCTGGGGAGCTGTCATAATCTGGCAGTGTGGCAGGAGGGGGTACAGATGCCTCTCCCAGGCCCCCCAGTACAAGGCAGCTGTGATCCAGCTCGCATGCTGTTCACTAGCACCGAGCGCACAGTGATGTCCAAAGAGACGTGATCCCAGCCCCCCAGAGCTTAGAGTCTAATTTTTAAAGCCAACACTTACATGGTGTTTACCCCGTGCTATCTAAATGCCTGATGTGAATCCGCTCACTGAAGCCTTACAGAACCCCCACGAGGCGGTAGCCGCTAGTAAAAATAGTACTACTTGCGTACGGGGAGACGCAGGCACAGAGAGGTTGCATGGTTCGCCTGGACCTGCACAGCTGGTTGTAGAGCTGGGATACGAGGCTAAGTGGTCAGGCCGCAGAGGCAGCGCTTTCTGACCACTGTGTCTTTCTGCCTCTGCGGGATCAGTCAGAGTAAGTGATGCGAGCTGCCGTGACAGACAATTCTCAACTTCCTGTGCCCTGACTTAATAGCTTATTTCCCACTGAATCACTGGGGAGCGGGGCAGGGGTCGTAGTTCCGTGCCTTGCAGTCGTCAGGAACTCAGGTTCCTGCTTTCTCGTCACTTCTGGCCACTCCACTCTCCGCTGCAAGTTCTCTCTTGGGTCCTCTGCATTGGGTCCCTAGATGGTGGATATGAGAGCATGGAAAATCATATAGGAGGTTGTAAGGGCCAGGCCTGGAAATGGCACATGACTTCTACTCACGTCCTGCTGGCCAGATTCAATCACAGGGTCCTACCGACCTGCGAAGGACGCTGGGAAAAAGTACCTTCCGGTGTGCCCGGAGGGACGTGAAGGGGTATTTGGTGGCTAGATAGCTTTGCCTTTACCACATGACCCCTTCGTCACCTCCCGGGGGCTGCAACCCAGACCAGATATTAAGGACACTCTGCGTTTGTCACCCTCGTGCAACAGAAGACAGAGAGGCCAGCCTGCTCTGGCTCCTCAGTTCCAAAGGCTGACACCTGACGGTCATCTCCCTTGCATTTCAGGGTTCCTGGTGGCCTGGCCTGTGCTCCTCCTGCCTGTCCTCCTGGCTGGGCTGTTGTGAGCTCAACTGGACGTCTGGCCTTGAAGCCCGCATCCTTTCTCTGGAGATGGCTTCCAGTCACCCTTTTCGCCCTGCTGGATCTCTCTTCAGACCCCAGATGGCCTGGGTGCCCACAGATCCCCGGCTGGGCGAGGTTTGGGGAGAGGGGAGCCTTTGCATACCCCTGTCAGGGCGTCTGTATATCCCTCTCTACCCTGGTGGGGGCCTGGCCTGGGCTGACTTTCTCATTCTTTAGCAGGATCTTGAAAGCAGATTTGCTGGGTGCCTCCGTGGCTCCAGGCTCTACCCGAAGTGTAGCACGCCTCTGTAACTCCCGGGAAGAGGGACCGTGTCACTGGGGGTAGGGGAGTGAGATTAGCTCATCAGACGCACCTCCTGCGGCCCCTTCCTAAGCACCCCCTGTCCTCGCTGCTGATGAATTGAACAGACTGAGCCTTGCTTTCACTCTGCTTCCTCTGACGTATTTCCATCGTGGTCTTGACAATCGCCCTGGGAACATGTTGAGAAGGGACCACTTTCAGAGGACCTGCTCCAGGAAAGACCGTTCCCCGTCGCACCCCTGTCCCCTGCCACACCGAACGTGCTTCGATGTGCCTAAAACTACACCAACGCCACCCCCTGGGACCTGGCTGCTAGGGGAACTGCTCGGTTTGGGTACAGCAACGCTGTCGCCCCAGAGTGCACCCCTAGCTGTAGAGTGGTGGGCTGAGCGGGGAGCCCCAGCAGAGTGGTGCCCCGATCCTGCAGCGGGAGGTGGCAACGGGGTCTGGGTGAGAGGGGAAGCCCTTTCTGGAAACCTCTACGAGCCCTCACAAAGCACTCCTCGACGAAGCCACACGTAGAGAACGCGTCCCTTTCCCAAAGCTGGGCCCGGCCAGGCTGGCCTCGGGGAAAATGACCTGATCACGCCAGGCCGCTTGGGGGGCGGGGTGGGGGCAGCAGAGCCTGCTTCTCTGCTGGAAAGGGACTTTCCACCACTGCAACTTGCCGCCTTGTTCAGAGAAGGAGTCTTTGCAAGAAACAGAAAGCCACTCCGATTCACTCAGGCGAAAAGGGAGTTAATTACAAAGACACAGAGCACAGAGTCCCAGGACAGACGATGCAACCTGGCTGCACGCGACAAACCCCTAGAAACCAAGGTCTGTCTGTCTCTCCCTCTGTCTCTCTTCCTGACACTACACGGCCTTCTCATCCGCTTCTCCTGATGTGTCTCCTTCCTGCGCCCCTCTCTCTGAAAGGGGCTCGTCCTGTTTATTCATCATCCCTTGACTTAATATGGGCACTGCAGCCTCACGTCGCTTCCTAATTCGGGGCCACAGAGACGAGCGTCTTGCTAGTCCACATCCCAATAGCATGGGGGCGGGGGGTCTGATGCCCCTGCTTGGGTCCGAGTGTTTCCCCTGGTCTAGCTGTCCGGGGCCAGGTGAGTGGGCTCATCTCACACGAACATCACCGATGGGTCCAAGCTGAGGGCAGACATCCCAAAAGGCCACTACGATGGTGGTTTCATTAGAAGAGAGAGGCTCCTGGGAGGGACTGCGGATTCCAGTTTCCCAGTGAGCGAGAAGATTCAGAGCTACTACTTCCCAAGGGAGGCAGCACGAGGAAGAGGCCTGCCCGAACGAGAGGTCAGGGGGTCCCAGCCCTGTCCCCTGTCTGTCGGAGGCCCAGGGGCTGGGCGAGAGTGAGCGTCTCAAACATTTACAGAGGATGCCTTGCTTTAAATACAGTGCTGCACGCACATTCGATATGCACAGATTAAAACCAAAGGGACTGTTGTGGATGCGGGGCAGGGGGCTTAGCTTCCCCGTTCTGTGAGTCCCTCCTCCTCAGGCCCTCAAAGAGACTCCGGGATAACCCACGAGGTGACCAAGGTCAAAGCTTTAGAAGTCCTTCTAATGTCCCTTCCAGTGTAAATACATGGCCTTCTACTTAACTAGGGCCACCCTGGCTATCTATCTATCTGCCTCTCTGTCCATCCGTCTGTCCATCCATCCATCCAACCATCCATCCATCCATCCATCCATCCATCCATCCATCCATCCATCCATCATCCATCCATCATCCAACCATCCATCCATCATCCATCTATCCATGCATCCATCTATCCATCTATCCATGCATCTATCTATCCATCATCCATCCATCCATTTATCATCCATCCATCTATCCATGCATCCATCCATCCACTCAGCAAACAGTTACCATCCACCCCTCATCCATCACCCATCCATCCATCCTTCCTGTTCTTCCCCACACCCATCTATCTACCTACATATCTGTCACCCAGCTAGTTATAGCTTTTTGTTTTCTACAAATGGAGATGCTCTATGAGTAACGATCTCTGAATGTCCAGCCTACTTCATTCACTGCATCGATACTCATCTGCTGAGCAGCCATTATAAATAACGAAATGCAGTCCCCGCCCTGTAGAGGTTTGAATCTGGTGGAACGCAAACACATACACGAGGCTTAAAGGCAGATCCCACTCAGACACACAAACCCACCGGCCCTCGGACGCAGGGCTCGTACACCCATACCAAAACGCACATCCTAACAGATTTGCCTATCAGCCTCACCTGCCCAGAAACCATCTATCCCACCCCCTCCACACATCCGACATTGAAGATAGTAGGTACTATTATCATCCTGTTTAGAGAGGAGTAAACCAAAGCTTAAAGAAATTACTCACCCAAAGCCTCCAGCATTTAAATACTGAATTCAGGGCTTGACCCCAGGTAGCCTGAATTTGGAGCAGATGCTCTTAACCAGATACTGTATTCTGCCTTTGTCTATATACAACAACAAACACATGAAGCCATTCATCTATTCATACACGTACCATCATACAAACACAGACTTGCTCGCATACAGGCACATGGGAATACACACACATGCATTGACAAATGTGGACAGACACACACATTTGCCAACACAGAGGCCCTCACACATACACAGGCATCGACATTCATGGCGCACAGATGATAACATACACACACTGAGACACACACACATACACACACATGGTTGCTTAGATGCAGACATGTGCACCTTAGTACAGAAAAAAACCCCACAGGGACACACATCCTATGCTGCACACACACACACACACGCAGAGAGGCGTGGATACAT